GTGTGTGTGTGTGTGTGTGTGTGTGTGTGTGTGTGTGAGTGTACCCATGTGAGATGACTCATACTAAAGCGCTGTTCAGATTGCCGTCTAACTCTGCTGATTTCTGAAGAATGACTGAGGACAGAACGTTCACACACACACACACACACACACACACACACACGCTCATCCACCAGGACGGGGTTGAGTGAATCTAGATGTGTGAATGATTCAGTCCTGACAGACACTCAGAACTCCCATTCACAACATGAGAGCATCTGGCCAGCAGCCAGTGGTTAGTGGAGGAGAGAAAGATGACTGGATGGCTAAACTCACATGAGCAGACATGGGCTTGTTTACAGAGCCCACACACAGCAACAAAGAGACTCACACACTTGTGCACACAGACGTAAAGGTAGAAAAGCAGCACACTTACCTGCAGCTGTGCTGGCAGAAGTGGAATTCCCACAGCCCATGCTTTAAACTTTGCCAAAGTCAATCAAAGAGATGGAAAGAGGAGAGATAGACTGAGGGGGAGTGACAAGGGGGAAAGAGTCCGAGATTACTGGAATTGGTCGGGAGAAGGATGAATGGAGGGATGAGGAGAGAGTGAGGATGAGGGAAGTGCAGTCTGATGGCGGAGTCTGAATGTGTCTAGGCTGCTATACTAGGGCAATAGAATATACGGTCTGTACAGTAGAAAAACCATTACGCCTATGGAGTCCCCACAAGGATAGCTGACCAAACTGTGTGTGTGTGTGTGTGTGTGTGTGTGTTGGGAAGAGGGCTGATAACACTGCTGGAAAGGCAAAGCTAATTACAAGAATAAAAATACAATGTGTGCAATTTCACATTCTCTTTAGATTAGTGGTTCTTAACCAGAGGTCAAAGCAAACTTGCAAAAAAAATAATTAATTATAACAAATGATAGTTAATATATGAACATTAATAATAACAATAATAATAATAATGTTTTTTTAATAATTATAAGACATTTTCACCACTTTTTTTTGCATTTTGCATATTAATAAATACATTGACATATATAGTATATTAATATGTAATAAATATAAGAACAATAATAATTTTGCAGCACAAATGTATTATTATTAATTTAACAATTAAAATGATAAAACCAACATATAGTCCAAAATGTAAACTAACATTTTGTATGCTTTGCAATTTGCATATTTATACCATTTCTAATAATAAATATTAACATATCTAGTATAATCACCATCATCAGCATATATAAATTATAAAATATTAATAATATGTTGCTAATATATTATTAATAATCATATATAATAATATATATTATAATAGACATATCTTTAATTTAAGTTTGTATTATAATTTACAAAGGTTGAGATCTGCAGATAAACAACACAATAATTACAGTGATGTATACTAGACAGAAGTATGTTGCATGTGAAAATGGTAGAATGACAGATATAGATGGATTGTAGCTTATTAGGAGCAGCATTCAGCATCACACAGTAAATGTCTCAGTGCTCTCAGCCTTTTGCCAGTTGTTTTAGCAGGCAGGTGAGGACATTGACTAATTTAAATGCTGCTCTGGGTGGAAATGGGTCTCTGAATCGTGTACAACATAGAACAAAAAAAAAAAAAAAAAACCC